TTTATTTATTTATTTGAGAGAGCGAGAGCACATGAGGGGGGGAGGGTCAGAGGGAGAAGCAGACTCCCCGCTGAGCAGGGAGCCCGATGCGCGACTTGATCCCGGGACTCCAGGATCATGACCTCAGCCGAAGGCAGTCGCTTAACCAACTGAGCCACCCAGGCGCCCGCTTCTGTGCCCTTTCATCTAACAGAACGAGGAAATATATGAGTATATACTAACCTGTGTCTACATATGTATAGAAATACCCATATATACTTGTATATGTAACCACTGTTAAAAGAAAACCACTGGCCAAACTCGGGCTTAACACCAAATCTAATTGCACTTTCAACCTCCCCCAGAAATATAGTCTTAACCTGTTGGTAAGGAATTTTGTGACTGGAGCCAGAGAACCTGCCGAATGGGTCCTCTCCATCCCCCAAAGGAAGAGGAGGTAATTTGCCTAAGACCCCCTTCCTCCTAAGGGAAAGTACCTAGCCTGGAACAATCCTTTTCTTTTGCTAATAACTTTCTTGCCCCGCCTTCCTTCCTTTAAAAATCTTCCATTCTGTACAACTCCAAGCTCCCCCCGCCACTTGCTGGTGGGATGCTGTCTGCCCAATTCATGAAATTGCTTATTAGATCTGCAATTAGATCTGCAAATTTACTTGGTTGAATTTTGTTTCTGAACACCATCTATACCTGTATTAAGGCAAACAGGAGGTCATACTGATGTTTCCAACTCAAATTCATTTTGAGGTAATTCTACGTAGATAGATAATTCTACCCTCTTCCCCAAAGTGGACTTTTTAAATAAATCACTATAATAAACTAATTTAGGATTTAACTTTCTCATTAATGTTAATTAACCATGGCTCCAGTGTTATCTGATAGAGTTGGAAGAAGGGTTCTTGAATTGGAAGATAAGGCACAAGTGTGGACATTCCTTTTAACCTACCAGTGTTTGAGGTTGCTTAATTAGTCCATTCCTCTATAAACTAAAATTACTTGCCTAAGGAATGGGATGACCATGAAGATGAAATGTGTCAATATAGTTTTCTGAAGTATTTAATTTTATATTAAATAGCAGAGCATCTTTCTGTCATCACTGAAAAAGCCAGGCTAGTCTTCTCTGAGTCTGTGTCTTTGTCGATCAGTTACAGTCTGTGTTGGCTAGGGAGTACATTTCATTGACAGTTATTTTTATTCTGCAGCCTATACTGTGCAAGCAGGCCAAATGGGATTCTAAAAGCTCACAAAATAATAGAAAACGCCGATGCTTGGGTCACTTGGAGGCCATTGTGACCGCTTCATAAATGCCATCACGGGAATGTTTCGAAAGAAACAACAATTACAAGCGCCAAAGAAGAAAAAGGACTTGGGACACTGGGCAATTTTATACGTTTTCACTCACTGAACCCTGTATCAATTCTAAAATGGGAGTCTTATTCTTTTTACTGAAGAGAAAAACAGAATCTGAGAAAAACTGAGAAGCTGGAAATAGGCGGGTGCGGGATTCGAACCAACGTTCACCTCAGAGCCTCGGTCTCTCTGGTCGGCCGCCGCAGCAGCCCCGGTCCCTCGACCCCACTAGGCGCACCGTGCCGCAAACCGGGCCTCGACCGTCCGCGGCGGTTCTCGCCCCGCTGCGCGTCGTCGCCCCCGGCCCCAGCGCAGCCACCCGCCGGTCGCACCCGGCACTCACCCTCGGCACTGTCGCGGGTCCGGTGGAAGTCCTCGGAGCGGCCGTCGCGGAAGGCCCGGCAAAGAGACAGGCAGAGGAAATCGAGCATCCAGCCGGCAGCTACCGCCTCGGCCTCGGCCACCGGGCCCGGGTCCTCTTCTTCCTCGGGGCCCCCCACCTGCACTTGCCACTCGAGCAGTTCCTGGCACTCAAATTGCTCCTGATCATCTCTCGGCATTTCTGCCATCCCCTCCTCTTCGAGCTCTGCGTCCTCCCCATCCGCACATCCCCGCGGGCTCGTAACCTCTACGGCGGCAATTTCCGCCATGTTAAATTACTCGCGCGGGTCCGCCCCTCCAGGCGCCGAGCGACGATTGGCTTGCGCTGGAGGACCCTGGGCGGTGCCCCCAAGGGTCTCTTCCGCCGATGGGAAACCACCAATCACACTGCCAGGATGGGCGAGCGACTTGAGCCTTGCTTTTGATTGGCCGAGGCCTGCTCCCGCCTCTGAATAAATTCCCAGCCACGCTGGGGCCGGGCTTTGTAGGTAAACTGGACTACTGCTGGCTGAGTTACCAGAGAGGTTAGGAAGTAAGGGGCCTGCTTTATACTCCTGATAAAATGCAACATCGACGGGAATGGAAACACGGTTAGTTAAAATAGAAAAGCATTTTACCTGCAGTGTACTTCAAAGAGGTAGGTTATTAGAACTTGTCACCGTTATTCAACGGTAACGCTATATACGCTAGTATTCACCTAAGACAGTACGCAATCACCAGCTAAAACCATTCCAGCGGACTTACATCCATGCCTCTCCAATCTGAGCGTACATCACAATCAGCTCGGGGGCTTGTTTAAACATAATTGCTGGGCTCCACTCCCAGAGTTTCTGTTCTGTAGGTCTGGACTGAGATCCTTGAATTTGCAAGTCTAACAAGTTCCCAGATGATGCTAGGCTGCTTGTCTGGGGACCACATTTTGAGGATCACTGCTCTAGAAAGAGTATATTACTATGGAAATGAATTTAATTAGGGTTTTAAATAGATTATGGAGTTCAGCTTTTAAACAATAAGTGAATAGTTATTTTGAACTTTGAAACTTAGAGCATAAGAGGGAACAGGGGGCTCTGGTTATATTCTGTTTCTCTACGTGAGTGATAGTTATTTTGAACATGATTTATGCACTTCTCAATATTCAATATGAATAAAAAGTCTACCTTAAAAGCCTTTTTCTTTATAACACATCCAACATTATCAAGGCTTTATGTGTTTTAATTTTACACATTTGTTATTGCCTTAAGGGCATAGTTTAAATGTTGAGTCATTTAAAGCACTATATTGTAGCCATTAAGAATGCCTAGGTTAGGGGCGCCTGGGTGGCTCAGTCATTAGGTGTCTGCCTTCGGCTCAGGTCATGATCCCAGAGTCCTGGGATCGAGCCCCGCATTGGGCTCCCTGCTTGGCGGGAAGCCTGCTTCTCCCTCTCCCACTCCCCCTGCTTGTACTCCCTCTGTCGCTGTCTCTCTCTCTGTCAAATATATACATAAAATCTTTAAAAAAAAAAAAAAAAAGAATGCCTAGGTTGGAATGTCCCCTGCCAGTTATCCACTAGATGGGTGGTGATCTTGGATGAGTTATATCTCAGTTTTCTCTTCTGTATATTGGGCATAATAATAATATCCCCATCACAGATTTTCTGGGAAGATTAAAGGACTTGACAAATGTAAAGAGTTTAAAAGGAAACCAGGTACATAATAAGTGCTCAATTAATATTAGCTGGAAAAGTGGGATATTTGGACTATCTGGAAGAGATTGATGAGTCAGAAGGGATTGCACCTTAAGGCTTTAATGGTCCCATAGAAAGTGAGTCCTGTTTACAAACAGTACAGGGGAACAGGGTCTAAGGGAGTAAGGGTTAATGTACATTATGAGCATAGCAAACAAACCCCAGGTTTCCAAACTGAAACTTTTTTGTCATTCAAGGCTCTCACGTGGGGCCTGCTTTTTCTTCCTTTCCTCCAAGGCTCCACTTCTTCCCAGTCTGGAGTTAAGGGTTATTCTTAGGTATAGCACCAATTTATTCAAAGCCACAAAGTAAACATATTTTCCTAAGGCATCCATTTACTGAAAGGGTCAGGGAAATGAAATATTTTTTAATATTTAAAGCAATGCTATATAATGAAATGGGGTAAAAATAATTTCATTAGGATTTAATCATAATCATCAGCAAAATTTTAGTTTAGGGGCTACTTCCAGCTACATATTGCACTCTCTGTCCTCTTCCCTTACTGGTATTTCACTGAAGAATATTTAAGAAGGACTGGCCTAATAGGATGGATCAAAAATTATTTTAAAATTTTATCCCACCAGAAAATCAATAATATAGAGTTTTATTGTGTTGTGGGCCAGAAAATAGGCCCGGATGAGGAGGTCTCATAAAAGAAAAAAAATTATTAATTTTTTAAACCCGCCTATCAACTTGAATGGTAGATTTATTCTTCTGAAATAATAGTTTGACACTGCTATGATCAGAAAAATCAGCTGTGATCAGTGTAAAATAGCTACAATAAAACTTGTAATATATAAAGTCCCAATAACACTTAAGCTGTATATATTTTAATTTAATGGTATGATAGATAAATCAAACACATGGCATTTCAGGAAATCTTATGTAATTAGTAAACATTCTGAGATGGGGAAAAATTTTTTTGGCAGAAAAGTTTATAAGGTATCATTTCCTTCATGACTGCTTTTCAGGAGATGGATCTAGTAGTTTGAGGTGAAGGACTGGGTGAGTCAAGAGAAAATCTTGAGTGTGATTTTGAAGTCCTCCCTTGGGTAAAATTAAGAGATTATATTTCTTTCAAACTTGAATTTGTGGATTGAGATCCATAACTGCTACACTTATCTTTAGTTAAAGGAGTGTTATGAGAGTAGAGATTTGATTGGTTTTGGGATGTTCCTAAGAGCACATCATGAACCAAAGACTGAAGTTTTGGGAATACAAATGTGACTTCATATCACATGTGTTTTCTAACCATTAGAGCATTTCCACAATGAAGTATTGCCAGGTAGTGATTTCTCACCACTAGAACCATTGGTGTAATGGCTGGCTGATCACCGACAAAGATACTGTGGAAAGATTCTTCTGTGGACTGAATTGTATCACCCACTCCCAACCTCAAATTCATCTATTGAAACCCTAACCCTCAATGTTACTGTACTTGGAGATTGGGCCTATAAAGAGGTAAGTAAGGTTAAGTAAGGTCATAATGGTGAGGACCTGGTCCTGTAGGATTAGCATCCTTGTAAGAAGAGACACCAGAGAGCTCTCTACCCTCTTTCTCTCCCCAGCCATGGGAAGATGCAGTGAGAAGGTGGCTGTCTGCAAGCCAGGAAGAGAGTCCTCAACAGGAACCAAATCGGCCAGTACCTTGATCTTGACTTGCCAGCCTCCAGAACTGTGAGAAAATAAATGTATGTTGTCTAAGCTACCTAGTCTGTGATATTTTATATGGAGCCCAAGCTAACTAATACAGATTCCCATAAAGTCTAGATGGCATTCCCCAGGTTGTAGCAATTCCCAAGATTGTTTTTGCCTTGGACTGTTTTCTAAGGAACACCTTGAAACCCTTAAGTCTCTTAAATTATGTTTACCATGTTGAAAATTTGTCACTACTATAAGCTAATGGTCTCATTATGAATAATATAAACTGTTTTATTTCTGTACTTATAAATGTCTTTTCATTATCCAAATTACATACAGATTTTCCTTGATTTAAGATGGGGTTCTGTCCCAATAAACCCATCATAAGTTGAAAATACTGTTAAGTCAAAAATGCATTTAATACATGTAACCTACTGAACATCATAGCTTAGCCTGCTTTAAAAGTGCTCAGAACACTTACATTAGCCTACAGTTGGGCGAAATCATCTAATGCAAAGCCTATTTTATAATAAGGTGTTGAATTGATCATGTAATTTATGAATACTATACTGACAGTAAAAAATAGAGTGGTTGTATAGGTACAAAATGGTTTTAAGTATATTGGTCGTCTACCCTTGTGATCACATGGCTGACTGGGAGCTTCAGCTTGCTGTTGCCCGGGGTCGTGAGAGAATATCTTACCAAATACTGCTAGTGGGAAAAGATCAAAAGTCAAAATTCAAAGTACGGTTTCTACTGAATCACACCATCATGAAGTTGAAAATCATAAGTTGAACCGTTGTCAGTTGGGGATCATCTTATGTACTTTTAAAACATCCTTTTTTATGAAGTACCTCTTGTGTGAAGTGCACTTGGCTAGAATGGTGCATGGTAAACATAAAGATGTTATCCCTCTCCTTCAAGAATCATAAACCAGTTGGGACACACTCATGCACACAGACACACACTGTACATAGACATCAGACTAATGAATGATGTCTATAGTAACCCTAATAGGAGTTTGGTGGAGGGAAAGGGTCTAAGGCAATGATATTTTGGTAAGAAGGTTTGAGCAGAGGTCCTTCTATTCTTGCAGGCAGAGAGGACAGAAGAGAAAGCTAGGTGCACACTAATTCCTTTTTTAAAAGTCAGCTTTATGGAGCCTAAAACACTAGTTTTGCTGTCCTCACAAATAGTTCTCAACTTCAGTTGTGCATCAGATTTTCTCAGTTGGCTGAGGTAGACTCCAGATTCACTAAATCAGAATTTCTAGGGGCAAAGTTCGAGCACTTGTGTTTTTCAAAATTTCCCCAGTTGATTCCAATACCGAAACAGGATTGATACCTCCTGAACCACAGAAATAAAATGCTACTAGATAAGGGCCAGATTGCCACGCCACTTTGAGGTAGTGGACACTACTGGTAAATAAACACACACACACACACACACACACACACACACACACACACAATAATAACAGTAAAGAAGCACGCTCTTACTTATGAAGACTTCTTCCTTTTTCAGAATCAATAAATTAATACCAAGGACTAAAGGAATGTTTAGAACTAAAACGAAGCAGGTTTCAGGAAAGAACATATTATTTTAGACAATTCTAATTCTTTAGAGCTTTAAAAATATTTAGAAGATCTTTGTAGCCCCTTGAGATATTTTAGGAGGTATTACATGCATTTCAGTATTCGCGTGGGATGTGGCTGACAGAATACGGGCATCAGAGAGGGGCCGGCTCGCCCTGCAAGGAGATGCAGCAGGTTGAATGCTAGAGTCCAGGATTGACTCCCCATGATCATTGTATTTCCCTGCTTTATTTAAAAAAAAAAAAAGAAAAACGTTCTGGTGTATGCCTTTAACAAGTCATTGATTAGCTAATATTTTTAATGAAATGCATCTGCCAAAAGTGAAAGC